GGGCGGGAAGCCGCACGTGGTGCCCACTGTGCTGCCTGCCACCTTCTACACCCCCTTCTCCCGCTACTACTCGCAGCCCCGCCCCTACCGCTCCCTGTACCACCGGCGCCCCAGCCCCAGCAGCCTCCCCCTGTCCTCCATGTCCCACCTGCCATACGACAGCTCTGGCCGCTCTGTCCACTTCTATCATGGGTCCTAGGCCTCACACCTATTTTGGACCAGAAGCCTCTGCCAGTAAATTCAAGCTACTACATCCAGACTTCATCAGCTACCTGACCAAGAGGTACGGAGGGGGCGCCCGGGAGTGCACTCCAGGCACGGCCGCAGGCTCTCGCTAGCTCGGCTGTCCTGTCCCGTGCCTTGATGAAGGGGTCCATCAGTCGGGGTCAACAGGAGACGCACAGAGCAGTCAGGCAATTTGCCAGTGTCCGCCAGGCATGGGCCGAGTGTGGGGAGCTTGACAGTGGGGCTATTACATGCAGCGTCATCGGCCTGGGGGCCAGCAGCCGGACCTCACTTCCTTCCCACCGGTGGTTCTCCATGCTGGGTTGGGGCGAGGTGGGTATTTGGTCCTGTCTGGAGACAGGTTTGGTTGTCCCAAAGCTGGAGGCGGGTGGCAAGCAGGCGGAGGCCAGGGAGCTGCAGAACACGCACGACGTGTGAGGCCGCCGGCAACCAAGGACCACTGGCCCCGAATGTCCACGGCACCATGCGGGCCACATCTGAGACAGAGCAGGCGGAGCAGGCGACAAGAGGGCCTGGGGCCTCAGGGCAGTTCCCTCCCCATTCCGCAGAGGAACAGGCTCAGAGAGTCCAGGGCCTGTGGTCATAGCACCGCAGCCCCCACTGGGCCCTGCATGCATGTACACCATCATGCCAGTGTGCCTGGTCCAGGTCCGAGCTCCCTGCCCTCGGACGTGACACCAACTTGGTCACGATGTGGGGCAGTAACAAACCGAGTCTCTCCTGAAACAAACAGCCCATCTATGCCCTAGGCCTTGTGGCTACTGGGAGCCTGGGGTAGAGACCCGAAGAGGGTAGAAGGGGAAGGCTGTCACCTTGCTTCCCCACCCTCCCCTTTACCTACGGGGCCTTATTTTGAGCAAAGACTATCGGTTCACTTTTTTCTTCCCCCAAATAGGGAAGTGGTTGTGGTAGAAAGGCCACTAGTTTCTGACGTTTGCCTGTTAGGACAGACAGTTGTTATGATAGACCACGCTACTGTGAGACTTCAATGTCTTCAGTAGTAGTGGCTCTGTTTGCCTTCAGGTTTTTGAAGTCGAAGTTGATTAACACACATTTTGGAGATCTATATATGCCTAGCACCGGGGCCCTCATGCTGCTGACAGCTCTGCACACCTGTGACCAGGTAAGAGCCCCTTCTGTGCAGCCCTTGGCAGCAACATAGGTGTGAACAGAACCCGGAGTGACCCTTCGTAGCCCTTCACAACGCCTGCCACCCACGACCTAAGCCCCATGGCCTTTAGTCCATGGCACAGGGGTTCCCCAGCTGCAGGAGTGCCCCTGCCAACCACTCCTCCATGTGCTGTGCAAGAGCCATGAAGGGACAGTCCTGGGCCAGCCTTGCCTCGGCTCCCATGGCCACCAGTACTTCCTTCTGGCATGCTCTTCCTCAAGGCAGCTCTACCTGCTGCTAAAGGAAACCCTGAAAGCGAAATCTCCACCAAACTGGGTAGGAACATCTTTCTTGTCTCACCAGCGAGACAAGAGACAGAAAGCAAGAATAGCATCCCTGTGGGGGATGGTCACGCCATGGTGCCTTCTCCATCTCTCTCCTTTCGGGATTTTGGGCACACATGCACATATGCCCGCTGTGTTTCTCCAGCTGCTTGGTCCGGGACTTGATCCACGTAGTCGACCATGAGAGATCCAGCTGCCTTAACCATCATGCCACGGCTGGCCATTTTTCCCTACTTCAATGCAAGTCTCTTAACTGCAGTCACTATTAGGCTGAAGATCAGGTGGTAGAAACCTTTGTCCCACTCTTAAGCTTGACTAAGATCATGGCTTTGGAGCCACACCAGAGTTCAAAACCCAACTCAGTTACCAGTTGTGTGGGCAGGGACATCTCTGAGCCTGTCTGTCCCTTTGTTAAATGGGGACAAGACTCAAGACCATTGTAAGGCCTGGGTGAGAAAATGTGACAGGCACAGTGCCAACTGAGCTGTTACTACTGTACTTGCAATTTCACATGGGCACCAGGTGGGCATGGGACAGGGCATCCCTTTCTGTATTCACTCCCGTCCCTTCACAGGAGCTCCTGGTAGCAGCTCAATAAATACTTAACTATTCTTGTCCAGGTCAGCGCCTATGGATTCATCACAAGCAACTACCAGAAATACTCTGACCACTATTTCGAACGACAAAAGCAGCCACTGATATTCTATGCAAACCACGACCTGTCCCTGGAAGCCAGCCTGTGGAAAGACCTGCACCAGGCTGGCATCCTGTGGCTGTACCAGCGCTGACCCCAGGCACTGGACCCTTTGCTTCTTACGGAGCTGGAGTCTCACGTGGCCAGAACGTTTTCCATTTTCCAACCTTTGGGAGGGGCTTCACAGTCCCTCCCTCTCGAAAGAGGGCGGCTCTGAGGTGGATTTGTGACTGTCACCACAGCTTGTTCAAGGAAGGTCACCGTAGTTTGTCCTCATCCAAAAAATTCATCTGGGTCTTAGACATTCCAACCTTGGACAAGGGAAAACGAACTGTTTTCCTGGATTTGTTTTAAAACGGAAGCAGACACTCCCAAGGTGAAACGTGCCCCTGGCCAGCAAGGGGCCCACATACCTCAGCGTGAAGCACCGCAAAGCCAGCAGCTGGTGCAGAGTTCAGGAACCCTCGGGAGTGACTCAAGATCAAACACCAGCAAAGGAAAAAGCACTCCCCAGCCCAGCCCTCCCACTAGCATGGCAAGACTACACAAATGCCAAAGCTGCTCAAGGGTACCTGTAAGACTCTCAGAACACCATAGACTGACTTTAGCCTCTCAATAAAGTGGGAGAACAAGAGGCAGAGTGTAATTTGAGACCAGGTCATTGCATTCATGATGGCCCACTGTCCCTTTTGTGTGTTGGGAATAGAGAATACAGTGCAGGGTGGTGAGCTTGGAGTGCAGCGTCCCAATGGGAGGGCACAGGTGTGTGAGGTCGACTGTACAGCTGCGCCTGCCCGACAGAAACCCCACTAGACTTACCTGTGACTACACACCATAGTGTCACCAAGAAGACATTCCTGGGTAATGAACTCTCATCATGGCTTCATCAAATGTCAGCTTAAGTAGCTCAGAGGCAGTTTCATTTTGTGGGCTTTTAGAAAAATTATTTAATCTTGTCAGAATTTTTACTTTTTTTGAAGTTGACCAGAGAGAGAAAGGAAAGAGAGCCAGCCAGCTGCCAGGTCCAGGACTTGAACCGCAGTCACCCATGTGGGAGTCCAGCTACCTTAATCACACCACCAGCTGCTGGCCCGATTTTAAGGGCTGTTATTAGAAGTGGTTTTTGAGGATGTCTCATCCAAGTTACCATATAGCTCTTAGCCAAGCCTTGGTATGTACTGTCTTAATGTCTAGTGGATTTGGACAGCTTGATGTGCTACTCAGCGTGAGGTGTGGCAAACGTTCGGTGACAGCTGGCAAGACTTCCCAAGGCAGCGTCAGTCCTTATGGGTGGACTCAGTGAGGGCCAGGAGCTAATCTCCGGTTCTGTGGTTTGGAAAGCTGGTTCTATCAGCACATTTATCAAAAGTGCTGAGGATGAACTTAGTCACTGGAAAACATAATACTCTTTCAAAGTCCAGAGACATCTGGGACAGGCAGATGGTATAACGGTTATATTGCTGGATTCCTATAGTCAACCAGGGTTTGAGTCCTGGACCCAGGGACTTATAACTCACTCCAGGCACATGTGCATGCATGCCCAAGATCTCAAGAGAATGGATAGCAGCATAGCCTTCCCTGCAGGGAGGTGATTTCTCACTTTGTTTCTGTCTCTCTGGTAAGCGCACACACCCTATAACAAAAGCTCATAAAAAATCAAAATAAAAAAAACAGCACCAGCAGATGGCATAATGGTTGTCACTGGACTCCCATAAAGTTGACCGTGGTTTGTGGTCCCGGACTCAGCATCTTATAATTCACACCAGGTACGTGTGCATGCATACCGCAAATCCCGGGGAGAAGGGAGAAGGGATGTGGTGTGGCCATCCCCCCAGGGGGTGATTTCTCACTGTTTGTGTATCTCCAGCAAGCGCACTCACACTACAGCAAAAAAATCTCTTAAAAAAAAATTCAGAGACATTGGGCAAGCAGATGGTATGGTGGCTAAGGCGCTAGACTCCCACATGGCCAACCACGGTTTGAGTCTCAGACCTGGAGGGCTTACCTTCCTACTTTCCCCTTCTCTGTCTGTCTCTGGTCAAATTAAACAATGATAATAAGTGAAATAATTCTTTAGAAAATAATAAATGGTCATTTGGACTTCAACTAAAGTTACTATGTTGGAAAGCAGAGCTTCCTGCTGCCTGCAAAGCAGGGACTAGAGGGTTAGTGATCCCTTCAGCTAACTTGTAACGCCACAGTCCCTCAGCCTCAAGCATGGCAGGATGTGACAGAACGCTTGGGCTGGAAAAAATGCAGACAAATGTGGCACAAAACATACTGACAGTCACCCATGTCTTACACTGCGTGACCTTTTACTAAAGAAACCGGATAGCCTTGGTGACCCACAATACACGGCACTTCACTTTCCCCATTCCCATCAAACCTAGATAAACCACAGGAGCCTTTATGAAGTCTTCATCTGGGTCAGGTGATGGCACAAAGGCAGCTGGTCCCCACACAGCTGACCAGTTTGAGTTCTGGACCCAGCAGCTTAAAAACTTGATGGGTACATGTGCACATGTGTCCAATACCCGTACAGCATCAACTGCCACCCACACTGCCACCTCCATGGGCCACATTCACTCTCTTTGCCTTCTAGCAAAACACAACACTTTCATTAAAAAGTCGGGGGCAGCAGGTTCAAGTCGTGGCCCTGGTGGCTTGAAAATCATGCTGATGTGCAAACCAACATCCTGGAATAGAGAAAGGACTGTCATGTGGCCATCCCTCCGAGGGTTATTTCTTCCTTTCCCTGCTGTCTATGGCAAAGGCACATGCTCTATGGCAAAACCTTAAAAAAAAATAGTCATAAGTGGGTTTTTGTTTTTAATAACGAAATCCTATTCTTTTATATTTATTTATTTATTTTTTAAATTTGACTAAAGACAAAGGGAAGGTGAGAAAGCAACCCACCAGGTCCAGGACTTGAACTGCATTCATCCATATGGGAGTCCAGCACCTTAACCACCACACCTGGCCCAGTCACAGCTGTTTCTTTTTTAATCTTTTTAGGACTATTTTTAAAATTGTCTTCTTCTTCAATTTGACTAGACAGAGGAAGACAAGGAGCGTGAGAAAAGTAAGCTGCCAGGTCCAGGACTCAAACCAGTGGCCATGAGGGAGTCTACCACCTTAACCACCACACCACCTGCCAGTCCGACAATTTTTTTTTTGACAGGTTTTTGCTATAGGGTGCGTGTGCTTGCCACAGAGAGTGAGAAATCATTCCTCAGAGTGGATGGCCACACTGCAATCCCTTCTCCATTCTCCTCTTGGGATCTTGGGCATGCACGCACATGCACCTAGTGTGTGTTTAAGCCAAGTTAAGTCCTAGGTACGGGACTTGAACCTTGGTTGACTACATGGGAGTCCACCGACATAGCCATTACACCAACTGCTGGTACCCCACAATTGTTTTTTAAAAATCTTTATTTGTGCTTCAAATTTTAGACACAAAACACACTGACTTCAAATGAAATCTACAAGAAATGTTTTCCAAGCTAAACAATTCCACTCAGTCTCCTCCAACAGTGCACATACATGTTAATTAGTGGGCTGTCGGAAAAGTCATGACGTCATTTTTTTGTTTTTTTTTCCAAGATCATTTATTTAGATGATGAACAAAAATCAATCAGTGATATATTGCCCGTTTTGTTCGATAACCTTTTGCCATCTTTCAGTGAGCTTCATAATTCCTTGCTCATAGAAAGACCTGTCCTTATCGGCGAAAAACCGAACAAGGTACTGATTTACAGCCTCCTCTGAATTGAACGTTATACCACGCAAGGAGTTTTGAAGAGAACGAAACAAGTGGAAGTCTGACGGAGCAAGGTCAGGGGAGTATGGTGGGTGGGGCAGCACATCCCATCCAAGCTCCAATAATTTTTGACAGGTAATCAAATTTGTGTATGGTCTTGCATTGTTATGATGGAACACAACCCCTTTTCGATTAACGAGCTCTGGACGTTTCTGGAAGATAGATTCATTCAAACTGTCCAACTGCCGACAGTACACTGTTGAATTGGTTGTTTGGTTCCTTGGTAGGAGCTCGAAAAACACAACTCCTTTAAAATCCCACCACACCGACAGCATAACCTTCCTCTTATGAATGTCGACTTCGGATGTCGTTTGAGGTGAATCATCACGTTGGGACCAAGACCGTTTGCGCACTACACTGTTGTAAACAATCCACTTCTCATCACCAATTATCAGTCGCTTCAAAAAAGGATCATTTTCCTCACGCTTAATGAGCATATCGCAGATGTTTATGCGTGCCGTCAAATGAACTTCTTTGAGTTCATGAGGAACCCAAATATCGAGCTTCTTTACATATCCCAGCTTCTTCAGGTGGTCGTGAACACTTGAATGATGGATGTTCAATGTCTCTGCAATCTCTCGTGTCGTGTAACGTGGGTTTGACTCAATCAATGCCTTTATTTTGTCGTCATCAACCTTGGCGGGCCTCCCTGACCGAGGAGTATCGTTGAGATCAAAATCACCAGCCCGGAACTTCGTGAACCATCCTTGGCACTGCCGTTCATGTAGAGCATTGTCACCATAAACTCTACGCAACTTTTCACAGGCTTGATGTGCACTCTTCCCTTTACGGAAGTAAAACAGTAAAATATGGCGAAAATGCAGAGCTCGGTCTTCCATCTTCAACTCGTAAAATCTCCAAAACTCAACCAAATTGCTCCAACTTTTTAGAATTTGGCTGTCATATGCTATAGCAATAACATAGATGCTAGATGCTAAACTAAATAATTCTAGTTCTAAAAATGACCTAGCGCCATCTGTTGCAGAAATGACTTTTCCGACAACCCAATACTTTTAACGCAGAACCAGTGCAGACCTGCCAGTACTCAAGCCTATACACCTAGCTCACCTACAGCTGGAGTTCTAATTTTACTGTCAGAGGATTCCTGGGAGAACCTCAGTCACTTGAACTCCCTGGCTATGTGTGAAGATGAAGGCCCAAGAACAGTTAGCGGATTCTTCTGGAGAGGGCACCAGCAATCAGCTGGGCTGCGCTGCAATCCCGTGGCACCTCCGGGAGGCACCTGTAAAACCAAAGGAGAGTCACCTGAGGCAGTAGCCAACTGAGGAGACTAGAAACCGAAAGCAAGATCACAACTGGCAACAACGGCTAATGAGGGGAAAGGTGATGGGTCTGGGAGGGCTCACCCAGGGGTTCAGTTCTCGGTTCTCCGTCAGGCACATGTGGAGGCTGGGAAGCACAGGGGGGCACTATCGACACTCCCAGTGCAGGATGGCAGCGGGGGGACTTGTTTTGAGGAGACAAGGCTCTAGGAAGTAGCAGTTTCTTTCAAGTGGCCAGGAGCGGCTCTCATGAAGCACTAGGGGTATTATGGTCAGCCCTCTGGACGTAAACAAGCTTTTCCAGGTCAAATCTCTGGGCTTCCTGAAGCAGACCAAGGAAGCAGGCCTCCCAACTTGCTAGCCTCTTGTCCACTATTTAACTTGCAGGCTGTAAGCTGCTGGGGCCAGTTTTCAGGCTCATTAAATCTCACCCCAAATACAGCTTCCTTGGTGACGGAGCAGAAGTGTGACCTGAAATAGAATGAGCCTGCACACGCCTCAATTTCGACGGAAAAGCAAGGCAATCTGTGCCCACAGCAAGCTGGCAGTTAGTGGGACAAAGGCAGACATGCACCTCCCCTCAACGCTCACATGCCAGCCCCTGCTGCCCAAAGAACAGTGTCATGCAGGCCATGCCATCCAGGCAGGATCTAAGCCAAACTGGGGACAGCTTCCTTGTGCTGCCAGGAGGCCAACAGCTCTACCAGTGCCACGGCATCCATCTTTTCCTGACGCCCAGACACTGAACAGGAAGGGTACGGAGGAAAAGTTAGAGGTCTTTAGCATCCTCACAGCTGCCGGCCTATGTTCTGCATCCTCGTCTCAGATTCAAAGAACACATCCGTTTTCTTCAAATATGTGACAAGCATCCTTTTATTCCACAGTGAAAGCATAGACGAAATCCTACTACTTGCCCACTTCTACCACCTCATACAGCCTCCGAGCCCTCAACCAATCGACTGGAGCACTAACTGGGCGACCACACCTGTGCTCCTCACGTTTCAGACAGGATGTGCTAGACTGGGGGTCTCCCCAGGGCACACAGATTCCCTGTGGAGTCCATTCAGTGTGATCCCACACAAAGCACAGAGTTCCTCTAAAAGCATGTGCCAAGCCCTCAAGCCTCAGAACAGATGGTTTTCCCTCAGCTGATTTTCAGACAGGGATAACTAGCCATCATAGGCTTGTAGGACTTGCTAAGGACACAAAAGATCTAAGCACAGAGCTTGCAGACAAGAATCCCTGTCGTAGGTCCACACGCACTACAGACACAGTAAAGAAAACAAACTATGAAAGTCTCCCTGACACCTGATACAGGCAGCCATAAGGCCAGGGGAGGTGAAGCAGAAAGCACACACCACCCATCCCGTTTGGAAGATCCTCTTGCTTACATGCACGAGAGGCATTCTACACTGGGCCCAAGTCCAGGGCAGCCACCAGTGTCTACTGCAGGATCCTTTTTGAGCCTCAGAATCTGAGGATGAGAGACTGCACCTGGCAAGGAGAAATCAGAAAAAGAGAAAATTCAATCATGAAGATATATACTGGGTTCTCAAGCAGTCAAAGCTAACTTTGGGAGACTGAGTTTCAGATATCAACATTCCACACAGAAAGGCCTTTCTCTGCCTTCAGACAGGGATAACTTGACATCATCATGGACTCAGCTCCCACTAGTCTGCTAAGCCACGGGACCAGCCATAGCTAATGCAGACTGTACTTCCTATCAAAGTGGCCTTCCTTCCCTTCGGGGAACTCTCGGTCCATCTTGCTTACTTAAACAGTTTCCCTCAAGAGCAAAAAACTCTATCTGGTGTCTAGACCACAGCGTCCAGACCTGGCACACCAGTCTCGTTGTGCCCCTAACGAGAGGGTTGGTGTCGGCATAGTGTCTGATGGCAGAGTATGGGCCGTACACCCTGGTGTCTTTTGAGAAGTCAGTAAGATGGCCGAGACGGCACAGATCACTTCCCTTCAGCTAGCTACTGAAGGCAGCTGTACAAACAGTGTAGGTGCCAGGGAAAACATCACCATACGGGGTTTTCTCCTTGCCCACCTGCATGTGAAAACTACCCTGCACAGCACGCACATGGCTTTCAACTTTCAGTTTTTCATAATGGACTTTTAGAGAACAGTCCAAACAGCTATGTAAAAATAGCCAGCACTATAATCTTGCTGTAATAAAACCCTTGAGCTAAAAGTAGATCAGATCATCTAAATATCCCTACACAGCAGATCAGCTAATTATCCCTCCCCGCTCGTCCTTGGGCTGGCCACACGTTTCCTGGGCCCCACTCCAGAGCCGTTCTCAACTGCGGCTGACAATGGAGCCCAGGAATGTCTAACACTTTGACAAGTGGCTGCTTTTTCATGACATCGAGAAATCACAAACTCTCTTTTGGAACAAGGCTCTGTTGCAGTTATCTGGTAACAGGTTGAAACCACAGTTCAGATCTCTAGCAAAGTCTAACATTCAGTTTCTGGGCTCTCTTCATCACTGTTCTACTGACATTCTGGGTGAAAAACTTCTTCCTCAGGGATAGTGAGGGCTTGCCAGTACATTACAGAATAGTTAGCAACATTCACCAGATGCCCCCTCCACCCTGATTAAGAACCACTGGTCTTGGGACTAGCAGATGGCATAATCGTTATGTCACTGGACTCCTAAGTAGCCGATCACGGTTCAAGTCCCAGACCCGGTGGCTTAAAACTCATGCTGGTGCGTGTACATGTGTGCCCCAAATCCTGAGAGAATGGAGGAAGGATTGCGGCATGTGGCCAACTCCTCGGGGGATTTCTTGCTTTCTGTCTCTCCAGCAAGCACATGCACCCTAAAGCAAAAATCTCTCTCTCAAAGAAATAAGCCAAGTCAGGAAGTCCACACTACTTCCCTTTGTCTGGGCAATCTTGAAAGGGCACACCCAGTGCCACCTAGGTCCTTCGGGCATTTCCTTCTTACCCCTTCCACTTTCTCCTGAGTTGGCAACCCTTCCTTGTTTCTTACTGCAGATGGCTGACCCTTATTTTTCTAAGTTCTTGCCTTCAGACAGACTGCTACGTTCCTTAATGCCCTAATTAACTGGCACCAGAACTAACACCAACAAAATACAGGAAATATCAAAGTGGTCGAATAAAACAGAGATAACAACCCAGATGTTGAAAAAGACCAAAAGGAATTTTATCCCAGGGCTATCTTAATATCCAACCATTTTACTGCCCTTGAAAAGCCAGTAAAATTCAATAGCCAGTGGATACAACTCTCTGCATCTGCCCCTCTCCTCTCTTGGCAGGTGAATAAACCATTTTTTCCCACTTACTCTTAGTCTGAATTTTTCAGTTCACAGCACCAGCCACCCTCACAAACCCCAACCCTGGAAGACCCTGATATCCCTAAATCTAAAAGACCAACAAAGGAGATCTTAACTTTATAATTCTATGAAAGAGCTAGAAATCTTACCATTCACAGACATCTCACTGTAAAGATCCTCACACTCTACATCTTAGGATGATGGAGATTCACATGACTTTCTTCGAAGTCCACTGCCAACTCCACTAATCTAAAGAAATAAGGATAACAAGCTTCATTCTAAGAGAAAGCACCTTAATGTATTTATTAACACTTATATTAAAACATGAGCCTCAGTAAGTCAGAGCTCCTCACAAAAGAGGTAATTTCAGACAGGGATAACTTGAACTCATCCTTGGCTCACCTGGTAACAAACAGTCCCAAACCAACCCCAGTAGACTAAAAGCCCTTTTCCAGGTCTCCCTTTCACTCCTGTAGAGGCATTCAGGTGAGTTTCAAACAGTGACACCCAGTGGCCCCACCTACACACACTACACAGGCTCTCGTTTTTGTCATGAAAAGAATTGGCAGTTACAACTCTGGGGAGTTGTTGGTCTATGTGGACTTCCGTGTCAACACGTATTCATAAACTTCAGAACGAGGTGGGAGGCAGATGTGTGGAATGCGTCAAGGCCATCTCTGCTTCCTCATTTCTGACCATCACCCCCGCTTTGCCCACACCCTTTCTTACTCATTTCAAGGCTCCATCCTTTACTTTGGAGCTTCGGTCTGTAGCTCCTCCTCTCACCATTTCTGCAGACCCCCAAGAATGGTCTTCAGGGAAGAAAAAAAGGTTTATTAAAACTGTGTCTCTCCAAAGTCTACAATACCCGTCTACTACTGCCTGTGCAGCTGGATAAAAACTGGCTGGAGGTTAGCAGGCAGTGTGGTGGTTAAGACACTGGACTGATGAGGTTTGAGTCCCGGACCCCCTGGCTTGAAAGTCATGTTGGGCGAGTGAGTGAATGCCCCAAATCCCAGAAGAATGGAGAAAGGATTAGGGGATGATTTCTTACTTTTCCTCTATTCCTCTCATCTCTAGGAGGCTCCAAGACTTAAAAGTTCTCTGCAACCACCCAACACGGCTGTCTCTCTTGCCCTAAAGCCTAGTCTTTCTTCTTCTAATCAAAACGAGGAGTTCCTCCTTCTGTAAGCCCTCTGAAATGAACAACCCTCCTCCATTCCCTCATACTGACCAACCAGGACTCAGAAAGAGCAAATCAGACTTGGGTAGAATAATCAGGACTACCCCCTCCTTCAGCACGGAGCTGGTGGCAAAATGTTAAATGTGACCATCAGAAATAAAAGACATCTGATTATGAGTTTGATGTCAAATATGGTCACTATCAACAACTCTTGGGCCAAACATGAAACTTAACCTGGTGTCCTAGAGATCCTCCCTGGTCTTGTTTCAGCCGAGCTCTTAGAAAAATGACAACACTGGGGACCAGCAGTTAGTGTAATGACTATGTTGCTGGACTCCCATGTAGCCGACCACAGTACGAGTCCTGGACCGGGTGGCTTAAAATCATGCCAGGCACGTGTGTGTGCGTGCCCAAGATCCCAAGAGGAGAATAGAGAAGGGACTGTGGTGTGGCCATCCCCCCTAGGGGGGGTGATTTCTCACTTTCTGTCTCTGTCTCTCTGGCGAGCGCATGCGCCCTATAGCAAAAACCTCTCCAAAAAAAAAAGACAACACTGGGACTAGAAGGTGGCTTAATGGCTACATTGCTGGACTCCCACGTAATCAACTGCAGTTCGAGTCCCGGACCCAGTGGTTTAAACTCACGCTAAGTGCGTGTGCGTGCGTGCCCAAGATCCCGAAAGGAGAATGGAGAAGAGAAAGCAGCGTGGCCATCCCCCTTGGGGGGTGATTTCTCACTTTTTGGCTAGTGCATGTGGCCTATAGCAAAAACCTCTCAAAAAAAAAAAAAAAAACGACAGCCTTTAACCACAGGTTTTTCAATTCCACTTACAGTCCTTTCACTGGTTAAGAACTTCCACAGATCAAACTTTAGTTTCTTAGAAATAGGAGACACACTGAAATCTGAAGGAATTCTGTAGTCCTTCCTTTCCCTTTATTTTCTCCCCTCTTCAGATAGCCAAAATAAATGGGTGGAACCTGACCTTCAAATTCCCCTTAGAATAGATGGGACAAGGGATGGGAACATCTAACCAATATATTACAGGAGAACCCCAACAGCCCCTCAGCAGCCCTCGGGCAGCTGGCACTGCTGTTGGCTCATGGGCTCACGCGTAATAGGGTTGAAAGACAGCTGGGAACAAGCATTTACACACGGGCTTCCCTCGGCTGCTTTCTTTGGTTCTTCCTCTTTTCCCCAGGGATTGTGGTGTGGGGTACTGAGGTGGATGTGGGCGTCCAGACAGGACTGAGAGCTGATTCGGGCGATGTAGGTCACCCATGCGCTCCTGACAAGCGTAATGGAAAGGCCCAACTGTCCCACTGGCCAATTAGGGAATGGGGATGGAGGATGCTCTTCCTCACCCTCTTCTCCCAGTTCAGAGCACGGGACAGCAGAGAAAGGTTTCCATCTCCCCTTCTCCCAGTTTACAATGCCCTTTCAACCACACGAACACCGGAACTGTATAGGTCCTCGAGCATTCAGGACAGGGAAGAATGCCCTTCAGAAAAAGCATTAATTATACCATCCCACAGTTAGAATAGTTTTGTAAACACAAAGACAAATATGTTGAGACCCCTATATTCAAACCTGCTGTGCTCTCCTTGGCAAGCCAGCTCTATGCACTGAATGTCAGGTAGATCCTCCTGGTGCCCCCACCTTCTCTACCCAGGTCTCCACCTCAGCCTTGCTGCTGCTCCCCATCCCTACTTCAAAGTCCGTCTACGAACATGAACATGACTCTGCAAAGCGTTTAAATTCCTTTCTCACGTGAAGGAACAACCCTCCGTCTTTATGACAACACATGGAAGCAAGCAGATGATTCCTCGCTGCTTGTCCTACTGACCCTATCCTGTCATGGAAAGGCTTCTCCCCTCTCCCTGCAGCCCATTTATATTAAAGACCTAGGGCAGAGTGCATTTTTCGGTGGTTTGATAAATTACAAACAGGCAATTACATTATTATTTGGAGACCTTTTCTACCCCTTAAGTCATGCTGCCCGGCCCCTGTAAGGCTGAACTTATGAAGTGTTCCAAAAAGCGCCCCCTCCTTGCCCTTGTAAACTGCCTCTCAGATGGCCTCCACACCCAAATACTCTTTACTGAGGCTTTACTCAGATCTTTACTCCACTTTGAGACTCATCATTTGTTTACGCCTGAACATACCTTAAAGGCTTTTCTCTTCTGGTCTCTTTAAACTCCGTACCACTGCTGCCTATGAACATGGAAAGAGCCCATCTCAGGTGGAGTCCCAGATTCGGGGGAGGGCCCACTCTCTCAGAGCTTTAAGCTTAGCTACTTTGCTGTTTCACAAGGAAAAAGACAAAAGGTGAGCAGGAGACAACTGCCTTGGTGCAGGTAAGCCTGGACAGGCCTGCCAGCAGCCCCTGGGGTTTTGAATCACATGCTGGGCAATAGTTCAGAGATGCCCAGTCCACAAGTCGGGGACACATTCCTGCCCTGTGGTGGGGAAGACACATTCCCAGGATTTCCAGAAGTACTTGGAGGAGACGTCTTCCAAGCCCTCTTTTTTGTCTCTGGATGGGAAACCTCCAATCAGCTGCCAGCATCCCTTTGCAATGTATCCTGGCATGCTGGGACTCCTCTGATCCTCGGTCTCTAAAGAGAAAGGGCTTCCTCTCCTGCACCAGGCTTGGCCTCAATACAAACTGGCAGGTAATACTATTCGGCAGTTAATTTCCTTATAAATGACTGGAAATAATAAAATTCCAAATGTACTGACTTCCATGCTTCTCTGCTGGCTCCGGGCCTACCAGGCTCCTTGGACTGCCTCACCTAGTCTTGCTCTATGTCACATTTGCTCTTAAAACTGCCTGGGGAGATTCTTTAACAGTCCTCATAAATATATAGCTGGTTTCCACCATGTTTCTGTGGATTTTGAGCAGATGCAACAGCAAAAGCAACACAAGACCGGCAATCTACAGATTTAAAGATATGAGACATTTTCAGCGCTACAGGATCCCCTCTGCTTGCTAAGGGTAGTCAGGTTTGTTTAAAAACTCCATTTGCTTTCTAGCGGAGCCTCAGATAAACCTCTAAGGGCTAACCTCTGAAGCTTCTTAAAAAGAGGGAGAAGAGGGGGCCAGCAGATGGCATGGTAGTTATGTTACTGGATTCCTACATGGCCAATAGCAGTTTGAGTCCAGGACCTGATGGCTTGAAACTCATTCAAGCCACCTGTACATGCATGCCCAAGATCCTGGGAGAAGAGATTATGGCGCGGCCACCGGAGAGATGATTTCTTTCTTTCTCTGTTTCTCTAGCAAGTACACACGTCTTATGGGAAAATCATCTTTTAAAAAAAGAGGCAAAAGAAAAATGTATAAATAACTATTTAGAAGAATATGAGATCTTGGGGTGTGGTTATTAAAGGTGTGGATTCTCACATGGCCAACCACGGGGCAAGTCCTAGAACTGGCAGCTTGCTCTCGCTCCCCCCACACTCTGGTCAAATTAATATATATATATATAAATGGAATTAAATAATCCTTGAAAAGAAAAAAAAAGTATGAGCTTTTATTTGCGTGTGTGTATGGATATGTTATGTACTTTATGTTGTGTCTATTATAAAAGGCCTTAAGGAATTCTATTAAATGTTTATAAAAAGTAGGCTCACAGGGGCCAGCAGGTGGCATGGTGGTTAAGGTGCCAGATTCCCACATGGCTGACCATGGTTCAAGTCTGGGACCAGGGAGCTTGCTCTCTCCCTTTTCCTTCTCCCTGTCTGGTCAAATTTAAAAAATAAAGAAAAAAAAGTAGTGCTCATATAAACTAACTTAAATGCTTTTCAAGTTTATGTGACTTAAATACATATGCCAGCTTCAAATATGGTAAAGAAAAAGTTTAAGTGAAGAGCTTCATAATTCCCAATATATACGTTGTCCAAGGTTTTACTTATCAAACATCATGTTTATCTTAATACGGTTGGTTTAATGAAACAGCTGGTATTTACATGTTATGTGTTTTTTTTGACATGGCAGATTTTTTTAAAAGAATTATTTAACTTTATTTATTTACTTATTTTGACTAGAGAAGACAGAGCTAGAGAGAGAAAAAGAGACAAAGTTCAGGTCCAGGACTCACATAGCAGTCGGCCATGAGGGAGTCTAGCACCCTTAACCACCCACCTGCCAACCCCACACATGGTAGATTTGGAACAGGGAAATGCATTCATGACTACCTTTCTTCTGGCTTTAGTTTTCGTGTCAACAGACACCGAGTTAACCCTTTTTCATCCCTAAAGTGCACGGGGAACATTTAACTTTCACTTTCTGACAGTTAAGTATTTAAGCTTTTCACTATCTTTGACAAGGTTTCCCCAAAATCAAGTTCTAAATTCTTTGATCTCAAAAATAACTTTTAGATATTTAGAGGGCTCTTGACACATCTCTCCAAAAGGAAGATGCTAAAACTAATTAGGCTCATTTGAATGTGTTGAATGATAAGGGGAATACTGACACATTGAGTAATTTTAACCTTTCCATTACTTTTGAGTTACACGGATGAATCTATGTATATTGACACTTATATAGGTATTGTGTTCCAAAATAACTTGAGACGTCCTAGGAATCTATAGTGTGATACTTACCATACACGTTGTAGGTTATTATGTTAAACTGGTATGTGTCAGATATATCCAAACTTGTCAGTTTTGAGTGCTTGTCAGATCTTTAACTGACTTAAGTCTTATTGTCCATGGTTAATCACTTTATTAGGTGCTTTTCTAAAAGCTTTTTGAAAATGGCTATAATCCTAACATGTCTTTTAAGAAAAATTTAGGGGGATGGAACCAGCAGTTGGCGAAATGGCTATGTTGCTGGACTTCCACGTAGTCAACCATGGTGCGAGTCCTGGACCCAGTGACTTAACTCATGCCAGGCGCGTGTGTGTGCATGCCCAAGACCCTGAGAGGAGAATGGAGGAGAATGGACTGAGGTGTGGCCATCCCCTCTGGTGGAGGGGATGATTTCTTTCTTTCTGCCTTTCTGGCGAGCACATGTGCCCTATAGCAAAAACATCTCCAAAAAAAGAAAAGGAAAAAAAAATTCAGGGGGCCAGCAGGTGGCATGGTGGTTAAGGGCACTGGACTCCCACATGGCCGACCAACTACAGTTTAAGTCCTGCTCATGGCAGCTTGCTTTCTGACTTTCTCTCTGTCCCTCTCTGGTCAAATTAAAATAAAAAGTTAAATAAAATAATTCTTAAAAAAAAAAAAAAGAAAGAAAATTCAGGAAGAAAACAGAAAGAGGAAGTACTCTTACAAGTACGGGTTTCTGATAATCTAATCATTAAACTGGGTTGAGAATGTTGCCTATTGGAAGATTGGTTTTCTGAACTGCTAAGCCAACCATTAGGCAGAACTAGAATTAACCAAAAGCATGGAAATGTTTTGACAAAATTATATTGCCAAGTCAGCCAATATCAAAATCGTTAAGCTATGTATTACCTCCCAGCACACTGTGTAAGATCAAATGCAATCTGTTAAGATCTGTAATTGGAATGAATTCCATGATTTAAGTCAAATTACCTGTGACAACCTATTTAATAAGCAATGTTTTGCACTTGAACTAAAAAGGTAAAATTGGTATAAAAGGATGAGAATCCAACATTAAGCATGAACTCAGACAGCATGGCTACCTGATTCTTCCTCCTTATAGCTCTCATCATTAAGTTAACATGCTTTGATTATTACTATTATCATTTGAGTTGGTCTATTAAGATTGCTCCGCTCTGGGACCAGCAGTTAGCGTTAATGGCTATGTCACTGAACTCCCAGTGGCTTAAACTCACGCAGGGCAGGTGTGTGTGAGTGCCCAAGATCCTGAGAGGAGAATGGAGGAGAAGGGATTGTGGCATGGCCATCCCCCCGAGGGGGGGTCATATCTCGCTTTCTGTCTCTGTCTCTCTCTGGCAAAGCGCACATACCCTGTAGCAAAAACCTCTCCAAAAAAAAAAAGACTGCTCTGCTCTATTGGGTTTTTGAGAGCCATGACGCATTTTTGCTTAGAAAAACAGAAAAATATGTCATGACTTTCCAACAACCTAATACACTGGACAATTTGTTAAACTGCTGTTTATACATGTACATAAGCTGCTGCTATACACTAAAAGTTAAGGTTGCTAAAAATTTTAAATTCTGGTCAATATGGATCTATGTAACTTTATATACAAGGTCCAAGGTACTTATCTCCTCCAGGAGGTATCAGACACCCCAGGATGGGAGGGAGGGGGATAAACATGGGCACTTAGGAAGACCTCTTAAAAGACACTCCCATTGGAGATTCCCTCTAGAAAAATCCCATTACAACCCACCTACCCTCCAATCTCCCACTTGGCACACATGCTTACCAAGCAGCAAAAGATCAATCCAGACCGTCCAGCCATCTCCACATAGGACAGACATTCAGGGAGCCCTATAATGAGAATCCCAGAACCAGCTTTGGGTGGGCCTTGGTATGAGACAGGAGTTGGGGAACTCCTGACCAGGGACTGGCAGGGCAGGGGTATAAGCATGGGGTGGGCTGGGTTAAGGCTGGAGCTCCTGGCTGCCTTCTGCTTTCCTGCACTCCTGTTTTTTCTTCAGTTAAACATCTTCCCCTTGGCTATATTCTCAGAGACTGGGACAGATCTAGGCCTCACGCCAATACAAGTTTGAGTGCCTGACCTGGCGGCTTGCTTTCTCACCTCAGGAGGTTTAGCCATAAAAATGAAAGTTTAAATTACAATTGCATTCTCAATGGCAGCGTTTGTACAGTCAGTAAGGCAGATGCTCTGTAAAATCTGCACACAGGGATCCCCCCTTTTGACAGTACTCAGCTGCTCCTTACAGATTAAACAGAAAAAAAGAAAGAAAACCCAGGACATATTGGAGTTTAGGTTCTCTTCAGTGCAGTATCTCTCACAGATCAAAACAGATCTAGGAAAATTCGTAAATAACTCAGAGAATTGCTCTGACAATCTGGAAAATCACTTTAACCTTTGATTTAACTTTAACTCAAAAAGCACCCAAGGGTCACTTGTGGCAGTCCTGAATGCTGGGAACTTCCCCCAAGAGAAGGATCTAGAAAAAGCCTAGATCAGCCTTTGTCTCAAAAGAGCTGGAAAGGCCTCACGTTCCTCCACTGGGGCCTTGTCCCCAGCATGGAGGAGGTGGTCACTGGAGACGGGAAGGCAGCAAGCTCTAAAAGGAGCCTAGGACTTCTAAACCCATAATAGCCTTTGAAGTTGAGAATTTATCGGGCCTAGGGCCCCAGTGACTCCCCTCACACATCTGGAAATCTCACTGGACAAGCCTCATGTGACCCTTAATATGACAGATAAAAAATAAGGTTTTTTAAAAAAAATGTCTAGGGGACCATAGGTGGTGTGGTGGTGAAAGCACTGGACACTCCCACAAAGCTGACCATGGTTTGAGTCCCAGACCTGGCAGCTTGCTTTCTTACTTTCCATCTCTCTCTGGTCAAATTTAAAAAATTAAAAATTTAAATAAATAATTCTAAAATAATAATAATAATTTGTCTATATCAGAGGTTATGGTTGTTTCTAAAAGTACATGCATAAGAAACGAGGGAAAATAACAGTAAACAGGAAAAGGTGATGTAAAAGGTTACAGCTGCACTGTTTGAGGCACAGAGCTCCCACCTGACGGACTGTAGTTCAAGTCCTGGTCCCGGTGGCTTGAAACTTGTGCCGGGTGGGTGTGCATGTGTGCCCCAATTCCCAAAAGAATGGAGAATAGGGGACTGTAGGGCCGCCACCCCCTAGGGAGTGATTTCTAGCTTTCTGTCTCTGCCTCTCCAGCGAGTACAGGCACCCTATAGCAAAAATGTCAAAAAAAAAAAAAAAAAAGTTACATTTGTAAAGTATACCTCTGGTATAAAAGGTTAAAAGCAAAGACTTTCATGTAGAAGGAATTGTGCACGGGAAAGTTTTTTGTCTTCAGGAAAAATGGCAAAGGTAAAGCAAAGGGACAAGGGACCAGCGGTGAGTGTAATGGCTATGTCGCTGGACTCCAATGTAGTCGACCACGGTTCGCAGCCGGGACCCAGTGGCTTAAAACTAACGCTGGGCGCGTGTGTGTGCCCAAGATCCCGAGAGGAGAATGGAGGAGAAGGGATTGTGGCGTGGTCATCCCCCCGGGGGGTGATTTCTCGCTTTCTGTCTGTCTCTCTTTCTGGCGAGCACATGTGCCCTATAGAAAAACCTCTTCAAACAAAAAGAAAAAGGGACAAAACTAAAAAAAGCATGTTGTGTAAGGTTTTGTTGATAAATGTTCTAAAGCGAACTGTACTGATGTGATGCCGCAGCTCACAATTCTGGTCATCTTCACATGCTGTATGCAACAGGAACAGCTAAACCTGTCCTACTACATCATACTGTACTGAACTGCCCTTCTCACCTAGAATCCATCGAGCTACAACTGGCGGTTGCGATAGTCTCCAGTGAACACCCATCAGGACCCCTAGCACAGGCCTTTACACAGAACTCTGGTAGAGGACCCTTAACTGCTGCCTGCACCCCAATCATCGCCCCTTTCAGCTGGAAATCAGAATGATCCTCCACCCTTACGCCCCCAGCAGCTGTTAGGGATTCCTCTGCAGAGGGGGGAATGAGGTAGGAGGCAAGAACCCTAAAAATACAGTTAGGGTCTATGCACGAAATGGAATCACATGGCGTGGATGGAGACAGCAGCTCGGCTGGTGCTCGGAAGAGACATCAGCTGTGGTGGCTCAGTGACAGGCCTCAGCAGCATGACCTAGACCTAAAACAAAGGCTTTTTCCAGGCCCTTCCACATTCTGGGAGGAAGATAATGGCTTCCCGGCCCAAAGCTTCTAAACAAAGACGCTCCTGACCCTAGCCCCCGACCAGAATCAGAATACCTAGACCCACCCAGCACGTGCACCCCCACCGCCGCCCCGCCGCCAGGAGGACGCACGTGCAAGCCCCACCTAGCACAGGCTGGACAAAATAAAATGCCCTTCCCCGCAGTTCTTCCACGCGACCCATTTTCAGGGGCCCCTCCTCTCTTTGGGGAGCTGTTTTCCCTTCCCTCTCCTTTAGTAAACACTCCGATTTGCTACACCCACTCTGTGTCCCCGGCTCTAATTCTTCCTGCGGAAGGGCAAAGAACCCGGGTGTCGCTGCCGGCGCTGGGCCCCATCACGCCTGCGCCCCTGGCCAACTACTTCGCCTCTGGGGAAAGGGAAGACACATGAGTCGGGGCGCCGTGTCACAGAAAGCCCCGTTTCCCCACCCTCGCTGCCTTACCATCACCAAAGGCCCGAGGCTGCTCGCCAGTTGGGTACAGGCGCGAGCGGCCACGACACCCAGTCACGCGGTCCACTCCGAAAAGAACGCGAGAGTGCGCCGGCACGCATGTCGTCTCGGCAGTCTCGCAGGACTCTCGCGATGTTGAGAAAGGGCTGATGGGAAATGTAGTTCTGAACAGCCGTCGCTCAGGGGCGGCCTCATCCTCAGCCCGGCTCAGGAGTCAAGGATAAGGTGGTGGCCGCCACCAGGGGCAGTAGAGGTTGGGGCGGGAAACCTGGTGTGTGAAGAACCAGGACAGTGAGAAAACGGAGGCGGAGGGTCACTTCAGTCACAGAGCCATTGCGCCCCTGAGTGCACAGATGGTCCCTGGCCGGGACAGGAGGCGCAGAAAGTTCGAGGAGGGAGGGACCGATAAGGAAACTGAGGCCCGGCCGAATTTTATATTTAATTGCTCTGTAGGTTGTACTTGGGGCGGGAAGGGGTCGACCGAGGCGGTTCATGGGGTAAGTAACGGGTAAGGAGGCTCCGAGGGAATCGTTAAGGCTGGGGTGAGAGCGGCGATACACAGGTGCGGGCGGCAGGGGGCGCCCGAGAGCGCCGGGCAGGTGGCCCCGCGTGGGCCGGGTATCTGCCCAGGGGTAGTTCCGGACAGGACCTCGCCGCCAACGTGTGGCTTTAACTCTGAGAAGGCAGGAAACAAAACACAGTACTGAGTGGGTTATGAAAAATGAGACTAATATACCACCCATTGCTCCTCTGATTTTTCAGGCAATCACCCTGGCCTCACTTTTGAAATGACAGTATGACAAAACAACTGGACTTAGGACCACAATATACACCTATTCGGAAATTAGTTTACATTTCCATGGACAGGGCCAGCCGAGTAGCGGTGGTCGAGGAGGCTGAATCCCACATGGCTGACTATGCTGTTCAAATCCCAGACCTGGAGACTTGGAAAACATGCCTGCTGCATGTATGTGCATGCCCAAAATCCCAAAAGGAGAATGGAGGAACCAGCATTGCAGTGTGGCTATCCCCCCACCGCCACCCCTGGGTGCATGTCTTGCTATAGAGAGAGACAGAAACAGTGAGAGGGAAAGTCACGTCCCCCCCAGGCAACGGCCACACCACAATCCCTTCTCCTCATGGGATCTTGGGCATGCTTGCATGGGCACTTGGCATGTTTTGAAGCCACCACGTGTGGGACTCCAACCGCGGTCAGCCATGTGGCAGTCCAGCCATATAACCTCTATGCCATCTGCTGGCTCATACAATTTTAAGGTATAAATGTAATTGTTTTCATGTTTCTCACCAGTTTGGTGTTCAGCTGCCCCTGCTCACAATAGGTATTCTGCAGACAATCGCTCATTCATTCATCAGTTAAGTTTGGGCTTCTCTTTCTTATCCTTGAAGACAAATTGCTTTGTTTTGATAGTGAAAGGAAGAAGATATTCTTTCCAGCAAACTAAGTTTTATATTTTTAAATAATGATTTATTTATTTTTATTTGTTATTTAATTTGATGTAGGGCACTAGTGCTCACCAGAGAGAGACAGAGACAGAGAGAAATGAGAGAAAGCAAACCACCAGGCCCAGAACTTGAACTGTGCTTGGCCATGTGGGAGTCCAGTGCCTTAACCACTGCCACCTGCTGGCCCTGCAAATTAAGTTTTTCATTTGAGACTTGTAGAGGAAATTTGTTACTGAACTCAAACCAAGTTCACTCCACCCATGCATCACAAACCAAATTGTAGACAGGTGTGAGGAAGGAAAATACGGTTTTATTGCCTTGTGCAAAGCAAGGATAACAGCCATTGCTGAAAAGGCCAAGTTTCCCCCTAGCAGTTCCAAGCATACATTTTTAAGGACAAAGTTAAGGGTCAGGGGTTCCAGGCACATGGAGCAGCTCAGTGATTGGTTCAAGAGGACGTGATCATCTCTTGGACTTTCTTGATTGGTGGGGTCTTAGGTGATAGATTTTGAATCTTGTGGGTTTCACATCCTGTAAAACATCAAACGGTTACTGGAGACAAGAGGTGGGCACAACCACAGTCTAGAGTCTTAAGCCTTACTTTGGTCTATTAAAATTTGCGTGCACCTTGCATTCCAAACATTTCGCTTTTGGCTCAGCCCATACTAACTCTGAGTTTGGGGAATTTCCGTTGTTTTCTTCAGTGGAAGGGGAAACTGAGGTCCCAGCCCTGATCAGTTTCAAATTCTAAGTGTGAAATTTCCCAAAAGCTGCTTGTGAAACTAGTGAGTAAGTGGGGACCAGCACTTAGCGTAATGGCTATGTCACTGGACTCCCATGTAGTCGACCGTGGTTCGAGTCCCAGACCCGGTGGCTTAAACTCACACTGGGCACCTGAGAGGAGAATGGAGGAGAAGGGATTGCTGCGTGGCCATTTCCCCCTGGGGGCTGATTTCTCACTTTCTGTCTCTCTGTCTCTCTCTGTCGCTCTGTCTTTCTGTCAAGCGCACACGCCCTGTAGTAAAAACCTCTCCAAAGGAAAAGAAAGAAAGAAACAAGTGGGTAAGTGACTTGCTGCAAGCAAAATAATAATGATAGCTAATGCTTCATAGCATGCATTAGGTGTCATTCACTACATCCAGTACTCTATGTATGTGAGCTCATTTAATTGTCATAACCGTGCTGTGAAGTACCATTAAGTGCCAGCACTGTCCCCATCTTATAGGCGAGGAAATAAGCATTGTGAGGTTACGTAACTTGCTGAAATCCACACAGCTAGTATCCAGGAGTGGACTGCATACTTTTACCACTAAGTTGACTGCACCGTGAATGTATTGATCTTATATATGAGGGCTTTTGTTTGGGGGGGAAGGTGTTTGCAGAGCTGGTAGGGGACAAAATCAGAAAAGAGATTGAAAGGAGAGGAATGAGAGTCGCTGGCTGCACTGTACTGAGCCCCTGCATGGCAGTAAGACCCACTGCATGGCAGTAAGAGTGACAACAAGAGGCTGCAGGAGCTGGTTTGTGAAGGACTGTGAGGCTCTGGGCTTGGTCCCAGACGAGTTGCCACCTAATGTACAGTGAGTGCGGTTCCTCACTCTGCCATGGCCACGATGGGGCTTTCACACGACAGCACAGCTTCCCCTGCAGAGCACAGCTGTGCCCGGGGAGCAGCAGCAGGCTCAGGGTGGATGGGGGCGCCACGGGCAGCAGGGCAGTGGCCAAGAGGCTGGAGCGGAACAGAGGCTGAGCACTTGCCAGGCGTGCGCACAGGCTGCATAGAGACAACGGGGAACGAACGAATCATCAGAACTCCCGAACGGGCAGGGAGGACCCCAGCTGAGGAGACCGGAGCGTTGGTGTTACTGTGATGGCGCGTGCACTCGTGTCGCTGCCGAGAGCTGGTACCTGTGAGTTTTACAAACCGCGGCTTATCATGTCACTGATATACACAGCTAGCACAGATCCGCAGTTACTGGCATGCAGTCGCCGCTCACTGGTAAGTGACAGGTAGGTCGCAGGCTGAACAGGCCGGCTCAGTGCCCAGTGCTGGTCAGGACCTCACCCCGAGTGCAAAGGGAAGATCTAGTCAGCTGGCTCTTGTGTTTGAGTGGTCACTGACAGGATTTAAGACATGGTAATAGGGCCAGCCTGTGATGTGGTGGTGATGAAGGCGTTTGGATCCCACATGACCAGCTGTGCAGTTTGAGGCCCAGATATGGCAGGAAAAGCACTCAGGGCATGTGTGTCCATATGCCCAAAATCCCAAGAGAAAAATGGAGAGGGGAGTGCGGCATGGCCATCTCTCTGGAAGGTGCTTTCTTGATATTCTTGAATAGCAAAGTTGGGGTCAGCAGGTGGCATGATGGTTAAGGTATCAGACTCTCACATGGCCGAACATGGTTTGCATCCCTGGCAGCTTGCTTTCTCACTTTCCCTCTCTCTCTGGTCAACTTAAAACAAATAAATGAATAAGCAAATAAAAATAAATAAATAGTTTTTTTTTTTAAAGAAATAATGCCAAGGTTAATGTCTTAGCCTGAAAAGGAGGCTTGCATTGACAAGAACATGAAGGAGGATAGGTGGCAGCCCCGGCCATGCTCCTGGTGCTTTCCTTTGAAGCAAGTGCACCGCGGTATCACTGGAAGTCCGTCCGTGTGGCAGGCACTGCTGGTGGCCAGTCTTGAAGCTGCTCTTCCACCTTCTTCCTGGACACCTTCCTCTGCTTCAGCTAGGGGACGGGATGGGCAGCCCCTTCCTAGACCCAGAGGCAAATCTCAATCAGACTACGCCAAACATGATACGGTTATTACCTTTGCCAGAGGCAGGGACCCAGAGGGAAACTGAGGCCTGGCCGAAGGTCTTGATAAGTTCTGACCAAGCTTAGGAACATTTTCTTGCCTTTTTAAAAAAAATAATAAATACACTAATTAATTAAAAAACAGCCTCTTCTCTCTTTGGGACACTGTGAAGGTGTGATGGTTGGGACTATGGCTACCTTGCACCCATGAGGCTTCCTTCAGAGCAAGAGCCCAAGCAGAGTGGAAAGAACACGAGTCCTCGATGATGCATCAAACTGCCAGATGCCAAATAGCCAGCCCTGAGACCCTCTGCCCTCAGCCCTTGCCTTGACTCAGAGCTACATTTTTACATTTTAATATTTCTCGGGAAGGGCTATGTCTTTCCAGCAACGGCATCTTATTTCAGTGAAATACAGAAAGTGAGTTTTTTGCTATAGGGTGCATGTGCTTGCCAGAGAGACAGAAACAGAAAGTAGGAAATCACCCCCCAGGGGGAATGGCAACCCCTCAATCCCTTCTCCATTCTCCTCTTGGGATTCTGGGCACACATGCATACGTGCCCAGTTTGAGTTTTAAGCGTCCAGGTCCAGGACTTGAACTGCAGTTGATTACATGGGAGTCCAGCAACATAACCCTTATGCCATCTGCTGGTCCTCAGAAAGTGAGATTTTTTAAAAAAGAAATTTCCTGTTTAAGTCCTTTTAAGTAGAGTGTTCTATTAGGGTCAAAATCATCCTAAATGACCTATCAATCCATTTCCACATCTTGTTTTCCTAGCATAATTAATTCCTTGAAGAAGGGAATCACAGCAAAATACAGGAAATGAACTGACACGTGTAAGTCCCCTTTCCGGGATAATAACAGCTATGACAGGCGTTTACTCCACGTGGGGCCCTGTTCTGAGCACATCTGATACGCGATTTTGTTTAATTCTCACAACAGCCCTGTCATTATCCTCATTTTGTCACTGGGACGCTAAAGTGAAGAAAGGTTAAACCCATAAGGGTGGCATTGAGATCTGAACTCAGACAGTCCAGCCTAAACACGGGTGGTTGCAACCACCATGCCGTGGTCCCTAAAAGATTACACTATGACAATGGAACATTTTGGCTTAACTCCAGTGACTTTTTTAAGTTTAATTTTATTTACTTCTTCCATGAGTGACAGAAACAGAGCAAGACACACCCACACACAGAAGCAGCACTCCCAGCAGAGTCTTAATATCACAACCTACCCCAGCCCCAGCCAGCCCCAGATCATGAGCACATGCATGTCCAGTATACTCAGGAGGGTATCTGGACACGAACCCAGAACTCTGTCATGTGATGCAGACCATCATGTTCCACCGTAGCACCACCCAGCCCAACTCTAATGATTTTCATTAGTTTTTTATTGTTTTATTTTATAAATTTGCCAGAGGGTTTGTGTGCTTGCTGGAGAAACAAAGAAAGAGAAAGTCCCTATGGGGGATGGTCATGCTGCAAGCCTTTCTCAATTCATCTCTCCTTTTGGGATTTCAGGCATGCACACACACACATGCCTGGCATGTTTCTCAAGCCGCCAGGTCCAGGACTTGAACCATGTAGTTGACCTTGTAAGATCCAGCTGCCTTAACTACCATGCCGCCATCCAGCCTTTTTTTTCTTTTGGTTATAGGGTATGTGTGTTTGCGGGAGACAAAGACGCAGAGAAAGCACCTCCCCTCCCCCAGCAGGGATGGATCCACCACAATCCCTCTTCCTCCATTTTCCTCTCAGGACCTTGGGCATGTACGCACACACACCTGGCGTGTTTTTAGGCCACCAAGTCAAGAGACTTGAACCATTCAGTTGGCCGTGTGGGATCCAGCTGCCTTAACCACCACACCACTTGCTGGCCCTTATTTGTTTTCAGAGTGAGATTTTTGCTATAGGACTCTCGCTGGAGAGACAGAAAGCGAGTAATCACCCCCTCCCGGGGGGGTGGCCACTCTGCAATCCCTTCTCCTCCATTCACTTTTCAGGATTGTGGGCACGCATGCACACGTACCTAGCATGAGTTTTAAGCCACCAGGCCCAGGACACAAACTGTGGTTGACTATGTGAGAGTCCAGCAACGTAACCATTACGCCATCTGCTGGTCCCCTATATTCTTCAAATTCATTTACTGTGGAGTGACCATGCCCCGTGGGGGCGGGGGTGCTTTCCCTTTCTTTCTTTCTCTCTCAGGCAAGTGCACACACCTTTGGACAAATTCAAAAAGTAAAATATGTAGAGGGCTAGTAGGTGGCATGATGGTTAAGGTCTTGGACTCCCACATGGCTGTCCAGGGTTCAAAAGTCAGGCTTGAAAAATCGCTCTGAGCGTGTGTGTATGTATACATGCCCAAAATCTTGAGAGGAGAATGGAGGAAAAGGCCACAGTGTGGCCATCCCCCCTAGGGGATCATTTCTCACTTGCCCTCTCTATTTACACTTTTTTGTAAGTTTTCTTTTTTTAGAATTTTTTATTTTATTTATTTATTTATTTATTTATTTTAATTTGACCAGAGAGAGAGAAAGAGGGAAAGTGAGAAAGCAAGCCAGGTCTGGTACTTGAACCACGTGCGGCCATCATGCTATCTGTTCCCACCTCATGTCAGATTCCATGGAGCTCTTCTGTTTCCTGCACTTATTTCTCCACTCCCAGAAACCCCTGCCTTCTTACAACTCTTGTGCAACCCTCCTTGTGGTGGTGTTTCTTCCCTTTGCTTTGAAGCTCCCTTCCCTTTATCCTCTTCTCTGTTTACCAAATTCCAGCTCCCAAATTCCAGCTCACACTGCAATGCCTCCTCTGTGAAGCCTTGGGGGGAGGCGGCAGCAATCCCCAGCTGCAACCTTGTGGCACCTTTCTTAGGGCAGGTGACTTAGCACGTGTTCTGCAGTGTTCTGCACTCAGGCTGACCCGGAGGAAAGTCCCAGCTCTGCGGAGTCCAGCTAAGTAACCTTGAGCAGATGACCTCATGTCTCTTTCCGGCTCCATTTCTTCTCTGGAAAACAAGGAGGAGGAGGCCCGTCGAAATATTGCTGGGCTGTCGTAGGCCTGGGCACCCGAAGTGCTCAGCGTGGCGCCTGGCAGGCACTCCGCAGTGAAGGGCTTGTTGTTCAGACGTACTTCTTTCAACATGCAGCCCAAGTTTTATAACTTGTCACGTCTGGCTTTTCTGCTCCACCAGGAGCAAGACAAGGATCAGTTCTTCATTCGTGTCTTATTTTGAACTCCTTTTATTGAGGTATAACTTACATATAGTAAAATACATCCGTTTCATTGCACAGTCTGGTCGCTCCATAAGTGTGTACACCCACGTAACCAAACTCCCAATCAAGATTTAGAACGTTCTGGGACCAGCAGGTGGCGTGGTGGTTAAGGTGCTGGACACTCCCACATGGCCAACCAGGGTTTGAGTCCTGAGTCTGGTGGCTTGCCTTCCCACTTCCCCTCTCTCTCACTCTCACCCTCTGTCTCTCTCTGGTCAAATTAAAAAAGAAATGAATGAATAAATCAAATCAAATAAGTAATTAAAAAAAAAGATTTAGAACGTTCTGTCACCCCAAAGAACACCTTCATACCCTTTTAGAGTCAGTTCCGCATCTAACTGGGCCCCAGTGAAGCTCCGATCTGCTTTCTGTCACTGACGATTGAGTTTGCTTGTTGTGGAGTTCCATATGAACATAATCATCTAGTAGGTAGTCCTTTGTGTCCGGCTTCTCTCAATTTACCCTTGTTGTTGCACACATCACTAGTTCAGTTCCTTTAACGATAGAGTATTATTCCATCGTATTCGTACACCTGCTTTATTTTACTTATTTTTTTTTTTTTAGAGGTTTTTGCTATAGGGCACGTGTGCTAGCCAGAAAGACAGAGACAGGGAGACAGAAAGCAAGAAATCACCCCCTAGGGGGGATGGCCACACCGCAATCCCTTCTCCTCCATTCTCCTCTCGGGATCTTGGGCACACATGCACACGTGCCTGGTGTGAGTTTAAGCCACTGGGCCCAGGACTCAAACCACCGTTTACATGGGAGTCCAGCGACATAGACATTACGCCAACTACTGGTCCCACCTATTTTTTATCAATTCACATGTAGCTGGACATTTGGGTTATTTCCAGTTTGGAGCTACTATTATTTTTAATTTTTTTTTGAGATGTTTTCACTGTAGGACGCGTGCGCTTGCCAGACAGAGAGAGACATAGAGACAGAAAGTGAGAAATCACCCCCCAGGGGGGATGGTCATGCCGCAATCCCTTCTCCTCCATTCTCCTCTCGGGATCTTGGGCACGCACGCACACGCGCCCGGCGTGAGTTTTAAGCCACCGAGTCTGGGACGCAAACCGCGGTCGACTACGTGGGAGTCCAGCAACATAGCCATTACGCTAACTGCTGGTTCCCAGGAGTTACTATTATTAAAACAGCTGAACTCCCACATAGTCCACTGTGGTTCGAGTCTCAGACCCAGTGACTTAAACTCACGTTGAACGCATGTGCATGTGTGCCCAAGATTCCGAGAGGAGAATGGAGGAGAAGGGATTGTGACGTGGCCATCCCCCCTGGGGGGGTGATTTCTCACTTTCTATCTCTGTCTCTTCGGTAAGAGCACATGCCCTATAGCAAAAACCTCTCAAAAAAATAAATAAATAAAAAACAGCCACTGTGAGACTAGCCTGTAGCGTGATGGTTAAGGGGGCTGAATCCCACACAGCCAACTGCAGTTCAAATCCCAGCCCCAGTAACCCGAAAAACACACGGAACACATGTGCGCATGTGCCCCAGATCCCAGCACGGTGGAGAAACGGAGGGCGAGAGGCTGCACGTGACCGCACCCCATTGCAGGTGCTTCCTCCCTCCTTCCCGCTCTCTTTTTCACGCATGCGTGCTCTCTGGCAATTAAAAAAAAAAAAAAAGCTGCTGCTATGAACATTTTTGTAAATTTTTTTTATGAATACACATTCTCATTCCTCTTGGATAACTCTGAGAAGCTGGCACACTGGTTTCCCCGCTGCTGGTAACACTTGACCTCCCCTCAGGACTGTGCTCCAGGGTCACTCTCCACCACCGTCCTACCGCTTACGGCCGGTCAGTCT